CATCAGTCCCTACTAAAAAATAATAAAAAGAAAAAAAATCTAGCGGGGAGGTATTTGGCCGAGTTCCTTTCTTATATATAAGTTTTAAAAAATTTAAAATTTAATCTTTTATTTATTTTCTTGATTTAATAGATTTTTGTAAATGTAAATCTGCCATTGTTTTCTCCAATTACATCAATAAATGAAGGGAGTTTTCTTTTGTAAGTCGAATCTCTTTTATTAAAAAGTCACTCTTACTTCAACAATGTACAAACTAAAATCATCTTTACTAGTATTGTACACAGTATCATTATTCATTATCAATTCGTTCGACTATGAATTGATACTAATAATTATTCAAATTATAGATAACGTGATAATTATTTTGTTCACAAATAACCAAAGAGAGTTGCCATACTAATTATATTAGTATCAATCTTTACTAAATCATTTCGAAATGCTCAATATTTAAAACGATTCTTAAGTAAACCTTACGAAACATGTTTTCTTTCAATAAAAACGTGGTGAAATGAGTTTTTAAGTAAGCGGAATGTATTTTTGTTACACTTTGATGTTTTACATTAGTCTAACTTCGAAATAAGTCTAGATAACAGCCTAGCAGCCTAAAAATTTAGAAGACTTTGATTTTAGTCTTGCCTTCATAAAATCCTTGGTCATGATTTTCGCGTAAAAATAGTGCAAGGAGCAAAAGTTTAAGTGCTATTTCATATCATTTCCAAAGTAATTTTAAAGAATTTACTTTGGTTAACTCGTATGCTTTGTGTTGATGAATTTCTGCAAGATTCTATGTGCAGAACGGATATATTTTGCATCATTCCAAGCAAAAACAATCCAACATACATTTGAAAAAGGAACGCGTTCCACCTTTCCCTCAATTTGTACCTGTGAAACGCGTCGCCTGTCGACCAAAGTGCGTTCGACAGCATTTGAATTCGGAAACGCCTCGAAACGCAATCTTGAAAAAGCGTTTCGGATCGTTTCAAAAAACGATGGTGGCAAAACGCATTTTATGTAAGTAAGAATGCTGCGAAACGCGTCCTGTATTGAAAAAACGTTGCGAAACGCATGCTACAATCTCAGAAACGCGTTACGCGGTCCGTTTCCTTCAATATTTTACTCCATGGGTGTTTTTCCGAAAATGCCAGTATTGAAGGTTGCCTACGATGTTTTACAACTGTCGATTTTTGTAAATGAAGGTAGAGTAAACCGACGAAGTATTTCATGTTTCTTAATCAAAATGTGTTTGTCATTGTTAAAAACCTATCATTATATATATGGGTGTGGCCAGTCAGTATGGTACCCCATTTCGATACACTCCTATTGTAAGGATAAAACATACTATTGTTCGGGTCATATAAAAGAGGATCCTAGATAACCCTGAATTGGCCCGAACAACATCATGTTTTATCCGTACAATAGTTGAGAACAGCTACTAGCTTATCGTGTGAGTTGGCAGCTTTTCTCTACTATTGTACGGATAAAACATGATGTTGTTCGGGCCAATTCAGGGTTATCTAGGATCCTCTCTTATATGACCCGAACAATAGTATGTTTTATCCATACAACAGGAGTGCATCAAAATGGGGTACCATACTGACTGGCCACTCCCATATGTATTCAATTGAACGAAAGACAATTAAGAAAGAAGTTTTCTTGTCACATTCATTTCAATAAACTATCTCAAGACCTTTTCAAATGATCGTTAACAATGATTGACGAAGATAAGATACACAACAGTGTTCGTCTTCTATTGCTCCTAGCGTTTTCTAGCCAATATACGATTAAGAAGAATAATAATAGAATAAATTATAGTCTATTACGAATCCACGAAAAATGTCGCTTTGTGAAGAATGCAGCGTTTCTTTGTTCTTCTCAATAAAAACTTCTATCCATTAGATTTGAATAAAATTACCTAATAATATGACCATAATTGAAATCATAAAACCAATTATTCTTCAACAAAATTAAAATTAAAATTAAAATCGATTGGGAATAGTTTCTTTTGAGCAAACTATAGCCAGATACAGATCGATTACCATAGAAAAAAAAAGTTTAATATTAATCGATTTTAACGTTGACTTTGCAGTGCTATCAAATGGTCGATATTCTCACTTGCGAAGCGTTTCACGTTATACGAAACTTTATTCGTTAAATAGAACGTATTAAGACTACATAAAATATAGAATAAATCGTGCCCTTTCAGTCATCCTTCTCTAGTTTAATTCAATATACCAAGATTTTTATTTTTATTAAGGTAACCAATACACAACATAAAATTGCAATATTAACTATACTGAAATGAGAAACGGATGGAAATCAACTGGAAATCTGTTGAATGATAATTTGACCGACTTATTTAGCATCTGCCTTTGACAAACTCTTAGTCGTTACATATCGTTCATAACTACTCGCAGATAATGTAATTAAGTGCTACCTATTTCTTGTAATGATCAAACCTCAGTCTGTTACATAGAAACTAAGTACATGTAATTAAATGAGAGATAAAACTAAACCCAATTCGATGGAGTTTAGCAGAAAAATACTGTATTCTTAATTAAAAGATAAAACCTATACGTGATTCTACTTATTCAGTGAACAATCTAAAAACTTAAATTCATCGTTTTTTATCGCTATTGACACATTTCTTCCATGAAACAAGCTTCTTATTACATTCAAATTTAGTAGCACTTTGTACTTGATATTCTCTTACTTTTCATCGACGAAATTATAACAAAGACTACGTTGACTTTTACTCTATGAATTTATGGTAGTACCATGCTATAGTGATAATGAACGTATTTCATAAATTCAGTTATGTTCTTTTAGTTTCAATGACAAAAGAGAAAAAAATGCTAACAACATTCGTCATTTATACTGTCTACAGATAAGTCACTTTTTTTCTTTTCTTCTTATATATTTACTTATATCTTAACACGTGTTACAAGGGTGATAGTGAAATTTTTTTTTGTTTATTTTTCACTTTTTTTCACCTTATTTCGGGAGATTTAGTCCTCATTACGACGATTTAATTTCTCAATATGGATGCAAATATCTTTCCCAATCGTCAACCAGTTCAATCTCCTGTTTCTACTTCACGTGCTGGTTCATCAGCGTCATCTGCCCGTCGTACATTATCATCCAATGAAGATGAAGATGGTTTTACTACAGTAAAGTCTAAGAAAAAGAAAAACCGAAACGAAAGTTTTGATCAATCCTCTCCTTCACGTCAGGTTATTACAACTTCTTTATCCCCTACGAATATGTCTAATGATCAAGTTATTACTCAATCAACGAATATTGTTCAACATCCCTTGGCTATGCAACCTGTTCCAGTAACAAATGAATCTACAAGATATGCTTTAAGTAGATTTCCTTTTCCACCTTTCATTATTTGATTTAATTCTGGGAATATTACAACCACTCAATTTAAAGAAGAACTTCTGAATCATTATAAATCTGTGCATCAAGTTGATATTCAATTTTTGCACTGTCGTTTATCTCGTTCTGGTGGACATGATCAAGAGTATGATTTTCTTCTTTATTTAAAAGATGCTCTGTCTTTTTCTTTCTTACTGGATGTTAATCATTGGCCAAATTTTATCAAAAATCATCAGTTTTCTTTACCGTCGCTTCCATCGATTCCGCCTCAACTTAGTCTTATAATAAAAAATGTTGATTTAAATATCGACTTTGAGGAATTTTGTTCAGATATTAAAACCCGTTATCCTGATATTAAAAATATTATTCGTATGAAAAATAAGTTTCAATGCAACATTAAAATGGTGAAAATTGAATTTATATCGTATTTTGCTCGAGAAAAATTATTAAATGAAAAAAGATTCTGGTGAATTATGTTTATTATAATATTGATGAATATCTAGCTCCCTTTCAAGTACTTGTTTGTTCGAAATGTTCAGGTATTGGACACTTTCGTAATCAATGTACACAAATTCAAACTACGTGTAAAATTTGTTGTGATCTGATCGACAACCCCAATCAACATACATGTTCAAACATAATTAAATGTGCTCACTGTGGTAACAACCACAAATCTACATCATCAACTTGTCCGGTGATCAAAGCTTATCGAGCGGACCTCACACGAAAAATTCTTCATCCTGTTCCTGCTCCATCTGATTCAAGTTTAATAAATAGTAATACAAATTTTATTTCAATTCTCAGGAATCCTCATCAACAAGCTTCGCAGCCTCCAACAAACAACATTATGATGGAAAAACTTGATGATCTTATTCATAAACTGTCTGACGTGAAGGACCATCTTTCAAGTTTATCATTGAAATATGAAAAATTCGAGCAATTTATGATTGAAAAAAATCAAAGTGATCAAACTCTTAAACTTAACCTCAACTCTTTATCTCAAACAACTAATGATCTTAAACATGATGTTATTTATTATAGGTCAAAAATTGATCGACAGGAAAAAATTATCTCCAAGTTAATGGTTCCTATGTTTACTGATTTATTTCAAGTTTTTATTTCACAAATGTCAGATGTTCTTGATGTTACTATTTACACAAATCTTAAACAAAAACTCGAACACTATCTTATCCAGATGCAAAAGGCACGTGAAGGTAAACATTTTCTTTAGTAATGTCTCTTTCACCGTTTTCTTCTTCTTTTTTTCCTTGTATTTCCTCTTCTAAAATTCGTAAACGCGATTTTTTTCTTTGTAAAGCCAAACAGGGTTTGTCTTTTTTCGAATTTAACCTTTTTTGTGATATCCTCAAGGAGTGGGAAAGCAGTACTACTCTCCAGTTGTGCTTTTCTCGTTGGAGTGAATGTATTCCAGCACCCACAAATCACATTGTTTCCTCTCTTCATGTTCTTTCATTCAATGTTAGAAGTCTTGATTTACGTTGGCAGGAAGTTCTTCTTCTTTCAGACTCTTTAAAAGTTGATATTCTTATTCTCCTGGAAACAGGTTCTATTGATATATCCTTTTATACGAAAATTTTTTCTAATTTTAAATTATATTTTCAAAAAGGTGAAAATCGTAATGGTGGTGTATTGATATTAGTCAGAGCAGAGTACCAGGTTAAACGTGTTGTATGTGATCTTCCTAATGTTTGTGTACTTGATTTTGTTGGTGAAGATGAACTTCGTATCTGTGGTGTTTATGCCCCTGATAGCAAATCTTGGAAATGGGATAACTTGACAATCTACTTAGCTAAAAAGACTGTTATTTTTGGAGATTTTAATGTCGATCTTAATCAAGATAGTACAAAAGCTGAATCCTTATTAAGTTGGGCTGATAACCAGTTCTTAGCTCCTTTTACACCTGATGCACCCACTTCCATGAGATCTAATAGAGTAATTGACTATGCATTAGCATGTGGGATCAGCATTGATATTCAAAATTTTAATGGTAACACGACAAGTGATCACATCCCAATCATCTCTATAATCCCATTAAATATTAAGAAACAAGGAGTGGGGGAAAATGTGCATTGGAAGGTCTTCTCTCTTTTCACTGAATTTTCTTTTTCATACTGGGAAGAAAAAATGAATAAGATATCTCTTGATGTAACATACAATGATTACATTCGATTCTTATCTCTCCTTTCTTCTCGTTGTACGACTTATTATGACTTAAAGAAATATCGTCCTTCTATTCCAGTTCAACTAAGATCCTTCTTATCTTATATTAGAGCACTCTCCTTTCGACAATTTAGAACAAAATGCCCCATCTTGAAAAAGAAGGTTAACACTCTTAGAAGAATTGCAAAAAAAGAATTGAAATCTTTTTTTCCACTCAACTTAATAACACACTCAGTCTCCGTAATACTTCTTACCCTGCAACTGTTTCGTTCTGGTACAAATGTAAAAAATATCTGAAGCCTTCCTCTTCATCTTTACATGGTTTAATTAATGCAGCTGGACAAGTCGTCAAGGATTCTAATCAGATGTGTGAAGTGGCGGCGGATTATTTCGAAGTATTTTTCAAAAAGTCATGTATCGTGAGGCCTCATCCTTATACAGATTTTCCTCCAATAAGTATTGAGCATAGTGATGAGCCTATTCCTGATGTAACAATTGATGAATTATTGAGTACTGTTCATACATCACGAAAAAAGAAATCCCTTGATGCTCATGGCATTTCTAATTTCATGTTTAAATTTCTTGGTTCTAATCATTGGTCTTTTCTTTTACCCCTTTTCAATCACTCTTTCAAATCAGCTACTTTACCTGTAGCATGGAAAGATACCAGAGTAATTTTAATTGCGAAAAAAGATTCTATCTGTTCGTCCTCCTTAACTCGTCCTATTTCCTTAATTGATTCCTTTCAAAAAATAAGTGAAAGACTATTTCTTACCCGCTTTCGTAATGTTCTTGAACGTAAAGGTCTTCTTTCTGACTCTCAATCAGGATTTCGAGAACGTTTCCGACTACAGACTAGAGTTTTGTTATTTTTGGAAGATATTTACAGTCTGATGTCGAGCAGTGTTCCTATTGCGTCCATGTTTATAGATTTTAAAAGTGCTTTCGACCAAATCTGGTTTTTAGGACGCATTGGTAAACTGAAGAAATTAGGCATTCCTCTGTCGTACTGTAATTGGATCAAATCATGGTTAGTCAATCGTAGATGTTATATTGAGATTAATAATATGAAATCGAGATGGTTTGATATAGAGAAAGGTGGACCACAAGGCAGTGTACTCACACCTACAATCTTCATCACATATAATTGTGATATGGACATTTCTCTTCCTAATAGTATTAATCACTTTTTTGCGGATGATCTTGTAGGTGTTATTTCGGGTCAAATGGGCTTAAGATTTTCTGAACAGTGTCTTGACTTAGAGAAGCGTATAAAAAATTTTCTTGAGCATCTCGAGTACTACTCCTTATTAACTGACCAACCGATTAACCTTGATAAATCAGTAGCGATGTTTACTGCTAGAGCTATTCAGATTCCAAAATTTAATATTAATTTTGATGATATTTCTCAAGCTAGTGTCAAATGGGTTCAGGAATATAAATACTTAGGTTATATCATTTCTTCGAAATTAGGTTGGGGAAAATTGTTAAAATGCACTATGAATAAAATTAGATAAAGAATATGTTTAATTAGGTCGTTCAAATTGTTTGGCTCTACTTCTCCATTGCTTCGAAAAACTTTATTCTTATCATTTATTCTTCCTCTTTTTACTTGGATTTATCCTATTTTTCCTTTACTATCGAAAAAACAACAAGATGATCTTTCTCACTTCTATTCTACATGCCTTCGTCGCGTTCTATTCTGCTTACATTGGAATGAAAATCTCTTTGCGTTTGCTTTAGATGAAAAAACTCTGGTTGATAGATGCGCTGTTGATTGGAATAAATTTTTTATTTCACTCTCAGAATCAACTGATGGTCTTCTTATTCTTGAGAAAGCAAATGGGTGTATCCACCGGAAGTCGCCAGGACCACATGGTGACCACGTCCAAATCCTATGAAACTTTCAGAGTTTCTAGAACTTTTTGCACTGATCATTTTGGTAAAAAAAATTTAGAATTAGATCTTGTTTTTGCCAAGATATATGTCAAATACTATCAGCACTTTTTCTAGTTTTTTGCAAAAACTAATGTGACATTTAACAGAAAAACCGATGAAAGTGCACTATTCTTCACTCAAATT